TTTCTACAACACAGAAAGTACAACAAAGACCAACCAATAGATTAAAAATGGCAAGTATGACATCCGTCTAAAGAGCTCAAACATGAGATGGAACAAGATTTGAGTTCTTCTTGTATTAGCCTTTTTCAGTTAGTCTTGTGTGCTCTTTGTAAGGAAAAAATACTGTAGGTTATCGAGCTTCAGCATTCTCTGAAACTGTCAAGCATGACATTTCTCTAAGTGCTTTTCAAAATCCTCCGTATATAACCAAGAGCTGTTCCAAACAGACATGCCCTTTGTTGAAAAACATAGAATTCAGAGAAACACTTTGATGTTAAGAATTTGTAGTCAGGTTTGAAAATGTATCAATATAAATTATCACCAGGATTAAGTATTAGTGCTGGCCTTCCTGGGTGACTGGAGATGGGTAGGTACAGTGTATCTCCAGAAAATTCCCTTCCAGATTAAATTATTCTATGAATATCATGTTACTTATTCAGCAGTCACTGAATAAACAAGACCCTCTACACAAAGGCACTGACAGCACAAACATGGGAAATCAAGCTGAAGATAGCGTAACGTGAAAGGCCTACTGAAAGTTGGATTTCCAACTCTATTAATCATTTATATGTTTAGAGTGACAGACTCTGGCTCTCTACAACTACAAACCTAAGCTCAAAGACCCACATCTACAGGCATGCCATCAACACCCACTTCTAACCTTGCTCCATAGAAGTCGCCATCAGATATTAAGAAATACGGTTTTATGAGGGATGTCTTTAATAAGCACCATCTGATAATCAACTCCAACAGTTATTCAGGATGTTCAGGATGGAGTAATAGAATGAAGTTCAAGTCTTCACATGTCAACTTTTCTTTTTTAAATAAATACCCAGGATTTCTCATGCCTTGACCATTAAGCAGAACTCATGAGTTCAAACCTTTGCTCTGTTATAAGCCAGTCAAACATTTTTAAAGTGGTTTTCCTTAGTTGTCTTAAGCAAATCAGCATCAGCTGTTGACTTCCACTGTTTGCCTTCATAACTTATGGTACATAAATTCTTCACAGCTCTCTACCTGTTGTGATCCAGGAAGGATACATTAAATAATCTCCTTTGGTCTCCTATTGCAGAGAAATCAACTCATAGTTTCAATGGCTAATATTCTGAGTAGACCAATCAAACTCTGTCATTAGTTCAATAGAAAATACTATTGTCTTGACATACCAATTCTAGAAATATGACACATAATTCTAGACTTAAATATCTGAAGAAGTTACTTTAACAAGCTAATTTAACAAGACATCTTATAAAATATCCCTGTAGAATTTGCTAGCAATCTCTGCCCAATGTGATATAAATGATTAAAAAAGACTAGAAGGGACTGTGGTTTTCTGAATACTAATTTTATGTCTCATAATTAATCCTATGACTAATCATCAGTCTGATATTAATCTCTGAAAATACAGCACTACTACTACTCAGTGACAGAAGCTAAGTTTATGCTTATACATCAATAAAATGTGGACATTCTATACTTCAAGCAGCAAAGAGAACTCAAAAATCATTGTGCCCACAGCTGAAAACAATTATGTGCACAACTGATCTAAATACTCAAAAGAAGCTTCATAAGAATACAATCATTTCATAAGCATAAGCATTACAGGCATCAACACCATACAATTAATCCTCATGTATTGTTTTGTACTGAAGAAAACCTGATTGTAACATACCAGGTTAAGAGGGAGACAGTTATAATGCCCTACTCTGAATCAGCAACACTGAGAAAAAAATAAATGTACAGCATTGCAGGACAGTGTAGGAAAAGAATACACGAAGAGTCCAACTATTGAACATTTGCAGCTGAGCATTAAGTCACTAAGAAACTCAACTTCTCTAACACACTAATCTTTGGCATACAGTAGAGTAAGTTCCACTGACAGCAAAAGTAGTTTTCCCATTACCTGAAGATTTTATAAGGTATTGACCTTCTCCTGCGCAGCAAATACATGCTAACTAGCTTATCACTATAGTAAGATATGAATGTGAAAGATTAACAGGAAGAATATTCCAAACATTCGGAGCTGTTGGAAAGGGTCACAAAGATGATCAGAAGGCTGGAGCACCTTTCCTATGAAGAAAAGTAGAGAGAGTGGGACTTGGAGAAGAGAAAGCTCCAGTGAAGTCTTTCATTACTTCTACTACTTATCAGGAGGGAGACTGACTTTTTGCAAGGGTGGATAGTGACAAGGTGGGGGGAATGGTCATAAACTAAAAGAAAGGGGGTTTAGGTTAGATGTTAGGCAGAAATCTTTACTTGTAGAGTAGTGAAGTACTAAAAAAGGTTACTCAGAGAGGCTGTGGATGCCTCACCCCAGAAGTGTTCAAGGCCAGGTTGGATGGCCATTGGGAAGTCTGATCTAGTGAGTGGCAACCCTGCCAACAGCAACAGGTTGGATACTAGATGATCCTCAGGGTTCCCTCTAGTCCAAGCCATTCCATGATTTGACTGCAATTGTTTTTCTACTATTAAAAATGTTAACAAAAAAGCTAGTTTTTACAACAACTATCAAACTAGAAGGATTCACTCTTAAATCCCGACCCAGATGAATAGGTTCTGAAAAACAAGTGTTTTCATAACAGCTTTAAACAAATTTCCATATACTGAAGATGCAAGAAATGATCTGATAGCATTCCTGATCCTCTAATACTGAAGCAGCAATCACTAACTGTGGCTAGAAATAATTATCAGAAGTTTACCAGGCTTCAGAGATGCCACTTAAAACTAAATCAAGCAATTAAAGCACAAAATACTCCTCACAAAGCACAATTCTTAATGAAAACTGAACTAAAATATCAAGTTAACTTGTAGAACTGTACCCACTTTTCTTCTTCCCTCAACGTATTTTCTCAATATACTACTGAAGCTTAAGAACCCGAAAAAAAAAAAATCAACTATTCAACCCTAAGGTATCCCTAAGGTAACCCTAAGAGAATAGAAAAATTACCTACCTGTTACAAGATTTCAGTATTAACATTTCTTTCTCAGAAGACAAAATGCTCCCCACATTCCCTTCACAAAATAGAGTATCAGCAACTTATCCAGTAGCAATAGTGCTGTAATATCTCACACCACCACAACTGGAATTTGAAGTGCTATAATACGCTCTAAAGTATGGATTCCAACCTTCTGATTTGACTAGTCTGCACTAATTGGAGAGGAACTATTTTGGGCTGAATATTAGAAGAGTTTTGTTACTTGTATACCTTTTATTTTTAATTCAAACAAAAAAACCACAAAACTAGCAGGTTGGATGTATATGTTCCAACATATACTTCCAGACCTCTCAGTCTACTTCCTTGTCGCCACCTTCCTGTCTCTGCCCAGTAAACACAGTAAGCCTCTTGCTAGTTAACAAGACCTTTCTGGAACTTTTGATCAAAGGCTGAAACTACTACAGATGACCATGAATACCTTAAAATGAGTACTTCTTTGTCTTCCTCAACTCATCTTTGCAGTCTACAACTTCCTGAAGGAAGGTTGTGGTGAAGAGGGGTTTGGCCTCTTCTCCCAGGCAACAAACAGGACCCGAGGAAAGGGCTGCAATTTGTACCAGCGGAGATTTAGGTTAGACATAAGGAAAATCATCTTCTCTCAGAGTGGTCAGGCACAGGAATGGCTGCCCAGGGAGGTGGTGGAGTCGCCATCCCTGGCAGTGTTCAAGAGGCACCTGGATGAGGAGCTACGAGATATGGTTTGGTTTGTGGTAGCAATGGTAATGAGAAGACGGTTGGACTAGATGATCTTACCTTGTGATTCTATGATTCTATGATCTTGAAATAGCACGTTCAGTGGAATTAAAACAAACACATTGAATACTACTGCTCTTGTATACTTATGTGCTGCAGAGAAGATGAGCTAAAAAATCCAAAGGAAGGTCATGAAAATGATCAGTGGGCTGAAGCATCTCTTCTATGAAGAAAGGCTGAGAAAGTTGGGGCTGTTTATTTAAAGAATCTGGGGAAACCTCACTGTAGCCTTCCAGTACCTAAAAGGGGCCTTCAAGGAAGACCTCTCAGTCAGACAGTCAACTATCAGGACAAGGAGTAGTGCTTTTAAACTAAAAGAAGAGAGATTTAAATTAAATGTTAGGGGAAAAAAATCTTAACTCAGAGGGTGGTGAGGCACTGGAATAGTTCACACAAAGAAGTTGAAGATGTACCTAGAGAAGTTCAAGACCAGGCTGGAAGGAGCCCTGGGCAATATGATCTAGTGAATGGTGTCCCTGCTCATGGCAAGGGGTTGAAATTACATCTTTAAGGTCCTTCTCAACACAAACCTTTCCGTATATATTCTGTTTTCCATCACATAAATGAACTACTTAAAAGTAATAGAAAAGCTACAGCATGACTTCAGTAAGGATTAGTCAAAATTAATTCATTAAATTTTTAAATCAGTGAAAACAGATTTTTCTTTGTCCTGTAGGGCCATTTCATCACTATGGGATTGCATCTGTACATAGCTTCTGTACTCTTATCAGCACAATACTGAGTCTTTAAGCATTAGGCAGAAACACACATTTAGAGAAAGAAGCAAGCAGCAGAATGCTTTCCTTTTTGAAATATACAGATTCAGGTTCAGAAAGTTAGTAGTCAAAGAAATTCCACCTTTTTTTTCTTCCAGTGCAAAGTGTAAGTACTGCAAGGGATGTAAATTCCTTTGGGAAGTTGTTTTCATGTCTCAGTTTGACCCCTGGGAAAACAATAACTCTTCCACAGAGAAACTGTACCCCTATGCACAGAAATCTTAAGCACAACAGAAAGCTGCTTACTGCAATCTCAAATGAAAACAGCTTATTTTCTTATTAAGAACTCCTTGCCCTACTCCACAGTGTTGCAGGATATCACTAACTTAATATTAAGTGATGTAATAGAATAATTTGCTGCATCCATATTTGCTTTCACTAACTATCAGCCTACAACAACATAACACCCAAAACATAAGATAGCAATAGCACTTACTGTAATCACAGCTTTACTCAAACAAATAGAGCCTCTGCAGCCGTACTCTGTTTCATCTTCAGACTTGTAATAACTGAGTGTGTTGGTTTTCAGAACCACCCATCGATCCTGCCATCCATGAATGTAGTTGGTCCACTACAAAAAAAGAAAAAAAAATCAAAAATCTGCTAATAGAAAAAAATACAAAAATACTGAAAAAATAATTTTGTTGATATTTCCAAGCTTTTCAAGTATCAGAAGAAAAGTTTTGGTTTTTTCTTTTCTTTCTTTTTTTTTAAGTTCTTTAAAATTGAGAACATTGCACTTCTGATCAGGACTCAAAAAACCAGCTTTTGCAAATCACTTAAACATGATACTAAAAACCAGTTGCTTCCCAGGAACAGGAAGGTAGCATGTCTTTGATGCAAAATTGATCCCAAGGCCACTTAAACAAAGGTACCAACACAGTGATAACAAACTGGGGGACACAAGAGGGGAACACAAACATTCTACCTTGAATTTAGACAAGTTATTTTAAATCTGAATAAGATGAACTGCCAAACTTAAGCAGAACATAAAGCACTTTATTTATATACAAAGTGACTTATACCAAAGTTATTTTACTGAATTTTCTAACTTTTCATATGAAAACATACATGCCATTATCCTACCAGTAGAGCATATAACCATTATAGCAACTAAAGTCACCAGTTCTTCATCAATTTACTACTACCCACAGATACTGCTTTAGGTTTTAATTCCATAACTACTTCATCATTAAGATGATAATTACTTGTCAGGAGACACCGAATCATCCTGTTACTAAGACCTTTCTATGGACTCAACATTCACGTATACAGTGCAACTGATATTCCAGGAACAAGTCCTGGATTCATCATATAAAGGTACAGTTAAAAGTGACTAATAACGTCCTGATTATTAATATCTTATATTTGCTACAACTTCCCAACACAACAAAACTACACCCTGCAGAAGCATACAGCACCAACAGAGCATCACAACTATTCTGGTAACATGCTGGTGCTAGGACTTTGAACGCAGGGCATAAAAACACAATTTAAATATTGGAAACAGGAAAACAAAAACATTGACAATGATTTTATCAGGAAAGCATTTCTTTGATCACAACAAAGACTTCCTAAACACTATTCATCATTTTGCCACATTGAAACAGGAAGGGAGAAGAAAGTGGACTAGTGGGATAATATCCAAGTTATACTACACGTATCAGTTAGCACTTGTCTCCTAGCTGTTAGCTCTTCTAATGGCAAGAAGAAATCTAAGCACTAAATAGGACAACAAGTTCTATTACCTGAGAAATTACCAGCTATTTTCAAGCACAGGTGAGACCTACATTTACTCACCAAAAATAAACCTTTTTGTAACCTCCTAATAAACTGAATAGCTACATTCAATATGAATGCTTCAGCTGTGTTTAGTACTTGAACCAACAACACCAACTGTTACGAAGGTATATTTGCCCTGCCTTCCTCCCTTTGTCTCTATTATATTCGCTGTTCCTATAAAAATATGAAGTGCAATGCCCAAAGGTATCTTGGCCAAAAGAGCAAGGGACAGGGAAGAAAGCATCTTTCTTCCTTTGACACAATTAAGTGAGGTAAATATAGCAGCCAATCTTGCGTTTGCTGCTGCAATCAACACTGGCTGTTGCAACCAAAATGTGACAGGAATTAAGAGACTTCTTAAAGTAAGGTTTCTGCAAACAGAAGACCACTGGTTAAAGCACACATGTATCAAGACATTTCCATGGTAGAGTTCTTCGTATCCACCTTAAAATTGTAAGGAAAATTGTAATTGAAAATGCCTAGAGTTTGGAAACACTCAGAGAGCAGTGAAACGTACTTCTAATAAGCTTCTCTTTCAAAACTATCCTGTTTGTTTAAAAGCTTCTCTCTTTACTGAGTTGAAAAATTACTACGCATACAGAGAACTGCAGCATACTTTCACTGATTTGCTATTTAATAACAGACTAAGTTTTAAAAACAGAGACGCTCAGTAATCAGTTTGTAATGGTACTCTCCTATTTTAATTAATTTGTCTCAAGTATTACTGAGGCATGAACTAGCAAAAGGCAATGTTATCCCTCAAGTATATTCACCGCAACAGGTTTTACCATACTTTGACTACTGAGATTACATTCCCTGAGTTCTCACAGAAGGGGCAACATCAGCTACATTTGGTATAATTTAAAAGAAAATATGAGTCTTGCACATCGGAACTTTATACATTTCAGCAGAGACCATGACTTCACCCATTACTCCTATATTTGCCAACATAAGAACCAACAATATCCTAACAAATCTTCAAGTTTCTAAGGTAGGAATTATCCAATCAAAAGAACACATTGTTAAGAAAAACCTATGCTACTAAACCAAGACCTCGTGTTTTAAGTGCTGTCACATCTCATGACTCTCTCATCCTCTCCCATCCCCAACAGATGACAGGATCTCACACATGAGAGCCTTCTCCCATCTCTGGATTTAGGAACGCTTTCAGACTGCAAAGCATTTATGACTCTCCCACAAACAAGCAGAGGTCTGCCTCATTGTGACTGTTTTCCTAGCAGTCAGGGCCAGTTATGAACTCAGTATCCCATGACCTGTGTGCTCCATGCATGCTGATGCCCAGCCTTGCCACACAGGACTGGAAAGAACTTATTATTTTTTTTTAATTTGACATCATTCTGAAGGTACTTTCGGGAGAAATAAAACCTTTTTGCTCCCAAACTTAATGATTCAACACACAGCTTTAAAATTGCCCCCAAAGTAAAATCTCCCAGCGTCACCCAACGCATACTTGCAAGTCATCTCATTTCCAGCGATTTTAAAAGACATGATAATAAATAGCAGCACTTCTATTTAAGAAGGGAAACGAGCCGTAGTGCCCTTTTCCTTCCTCTCGTCCCGTATCTCCTGCTGCAGGGCTGGCTTATGGCACTGTTTTGATAGTCGCACCGAAGACCGCGCCGCTCCTGTGCCCGCTCCGAGGGAGCGACGAGCGCGGGCCCCGCGCAGGGCAGCGGGGAGCCCCGCCGCACGAGGATGCGCCCCGCGCCGCCGGAGACCCGACTCTCGCAGCGGGAGGAAAGGGGCTCCGCGCTGCGTGCCCACCCGGCCCGAACGGGGCTCGAGGCCGCGCCGGCGGCTCCGCCCGAGGCAGGGCTCCCTCACAGCACCTCTCCGGGCTGAGCTGCCGGGGCCCGCGCGAAGGTGGGGGGAGGTGAGCGGGCCCCTCCCGGCGCAGCGCCGTCGGGGACGTGCCGGTGCCCCCGCCGGAGGGAGGGGGCGCGGGAGGCCGGCGCGGCTCCCTGGCAGCCTTCGCGATCAGGTGGCAGCTGTTCCGGCCAGCGCCTCTCCCGGAGACCAGCGAGCCCCGGAGCGGGGCGGCGAGGAGCTGACAGCCGGGATCTGTCGGCGGAGGGGGGTGGGGGCGGGGGGGCAGCCGGGAACCGCCGCGTAGAAGGGAAGCGCGAGGCCGCCGGGTGCGGCGGAGCGAAGCGTTCTTACCTTGCTGAGCACCCCGCAGAGCTCAACAGGCAGCCCGAGCTCGGTCTCGGGGTCCTCCTCGGAGCCGGAGGAGTTCCAGCTCTGGTTGTCCGACATGGAGACTCGAGCCGCAGCCACCGCCGAGCGGGGAAGAGCCGCGCGGCCCCTGCCCACAGCAGCCTCAGCGTCTCCTGCCGAACAGACGGGAACGGCCGGCAGCGGCTCTACCTGAGCGGCACGGCACCGCTCAGCGCCCGCCAGCTGCCGAGCGGCCTCGAGAGGCGGAGGCTCGCGCGGTTCCCTCAGAGCAGCTCCGCGGCCCCGGCCCGCGGCAGCGGCCACAACATAGAGGTGGCGAGGGGAGGAGGAGCGAGCGCACGTCCGCCTACCGCGCACTCCGCTCACAGCGCTGCCGCCGCTGCCGCCATCTTACGCGAGGCGGGGGGCGCTATCTGCCACTATTTACCCGTTCCACCCCCCCCGCCCGGCCCCGCTGGCGGAGCCGCGCGCTGCACGCCGGGAGCTGTAGTCTCCGCGGCGGAGTCCGAGGCCGCCGCTACGCGCGGCATGCTGGAAGTTGTAGTCCGCCAGGCCGGCGGTTCCCCTCCCGCCGGCTCGTGGCCGCCATCTTGGTCTCGTCAGTCCCGTTGCGCCGGTTTTGTCCTCTGACAAGGTGGGGTACTCCGCTCCCTTCCCCGGGCGTGGGGCAGCAGTGCTGCCTGGACCGGTAGGAGCCGATCGAAAAGCGGCTGCCCGAGCTGTCAGGTAGCCCGGTCCCGTGTTTTTACGCGCCTGCTGTTGTAGCTCAGGGCACGAGATAGTACGCGGTGTTTTTTTCGAGCTCTGACTGGGATGCGTAACCTGGCTTGTGGGGGTAGAACGGTTTGCAGAAGGAAGACGTGCCAGCTGACTGCTGTACAGCGTACAGCGGGTTGGAATGGACGTACCGTTTGCGCGGGCTCGTGTATTTTTGCTTATTTCTCGGGGGGAAGAAGACGTCAGAAAGGTTTGGGTGAGGGAAGGCTCAGTTTTGCAGTGCGTGCTGCTGGTTGTATTGGAGGAACGATGCTCTGAAATCTGTTTTTCTCTGACCGCCTCCCTGTGACAAACCGTGGTGTGATTTTCCCATGCGATGCTGCTTGAAGGTTTGCGCTGAGAAATTACTTTTATTTTATTATTATTATTTTATTTTTATTGAAGAGCCTTTATCACAGACCTATGTACATATGCGTATTATCCATATATGAGATGGGTAAACTTTTAGTGACATGCATACCATCTCAAAGTCTTCTGTATGAAGATATCTACACTGTTATTGTAAACTCTCTGCACTGAGTGAGTGGTAAAGCAGCACATCGCTGTCCTAAACAACTGGAAATAAAGGGTGGTCACAGAAACTTTACTGCTTCTCTCTGAGATGCATACTTTCTTTCAGGGCTATTGTGGGTACTGTTTTTGACAACTTTCAGACTTAGGAAAAGCTGTTGAGAAATGAGGCCCTTTGCTTTGTCTGCTTGGAAAGAAGCTATGCTGTTTTTGCTTTGTATCTGTTGCAATGTACTGCATTTCTTAAGTAAGCAGAGTGGCTGACTTTTGTATGTACTAATATGTGAAAGAATGATTTTTGGTTCTTCTTTGCAGCACATTTATGAAGTTAAGTGGCACTGCTTTTAACGTCAGATTTTTTCCCCCATCAAATTCTGAATGAATTTCTTTCTCTATTCTGATCTGAAAGCAGGGAGTGAAGAGACATGTCTGAGCAAAGCCTTTGGCAGTGACAGTGACATGTACTTAGCCATGCACCTTCACTTTCGTTCTAGGATTGACCTCTTGGTTGCAGTTGCTGTTACAGATCAAGAACTGCCGAACTGTAAGGGTTGTAAGGGACCTCTGTAAGAGATCATCCTATCCAGCCCTCTGCTAAAGCAGCTTCCCTACAGCAGGTTGTGCAGGAAAGTGTCCAGGCAGGGTTTGAATATTTCTGGAGAGGGAGACTCCACAACCTGTCTTGGCAGCCTGTTCCAGTGCTCCGTCACTATCACAGTAAAGGAGTTTTTCTCATATTTGGATGGATCTTCTTCTGTTCCAGTTTGTGTCCCTTGTCCTGTTGCTGGGCACCATTGAAAAGGGTGGCCTCATCCACTTGCTTCTCACTTTTTAGATATTTATTATATCGATAAGATCCTCTCTCAGTCTTGTCTTCTCGAGGCTGAACAGTCTCTGGTTTTTCAGCCTTTCCACATAAGGGAGATGCTCCAGGCTCCTAATCACCATAGTGAAATTATCTTCTTGGTTTCTTCTCCATTTATATGTCTGCCACATCCTCTTGGAATGTCTTATTTTTTACCTTTATTTCATTAGTTTTTGTTTTTTAATCATGTGTTGAGAGTGTGAATAACCTGAATTAAATTAGCTCTTCTCTGATATTCTAACCACCCTTTTTGTATATTACTCGCTGCCTATTTCTTCTAATGTGACCAAGTCACATCTACATTACTGTGGTGTAATGGGAGTAGATATTCATAGGAAAGATTTGTCACTGAGGACTTTCATCCTGTACGTATTTTAAGAGGTTTTTCTTCTTACTAGCTCTAGTCTAGTCCCATGGCAGAATATCCATTAGCAAATGGAATATGTCAGGTGTGCTCTGCAATTAGTCTTATTGTTTAGTTTATGAAGAATTGATTTATATGCTCCAAGGCCAACCTGTTGTACAAAGCCATGATAAGTGAAGATGATCTAACTGATAGACTGCTGTAGACCATGCGTTCATCTCTACCTCTTCCTGTGTCTTCTTCATAGAATCACAGAATCATAGAATGGTTTGGGTTGGAAGGGACCTTTAAAATCATTTAGTTCCATCCTCTTGCTAAAGGCAGGGACACCTCACTTTAGACCAGGATGCTCAAAGCCCCATCCAGTCTGGCCTTGAGTGCTTCCAGGGAGGGGGCATCCACAACCTCTCTGGGCAGCCTTCTTTAGTGGGCATTTATTTTGTGCATGATTACTGTAAGCATAATTTCACCACAAACCCTTGTATTCAGTCTGTACTCCTCATGACTTAAAAATTGTAAGGAGTCTGCATTTCTGAAGATACTAATCATAAGCATCACTAAATGAATAATTTTATTAATATCAATTTTTTCTTATTTTTATACTTAATTTCCAGTGTTGTACTTTCAGCTGCACTGTGTTCATTGGTTGTTAGAAAAACATGTTAATCTTTAGTGTATAAATATTTTCTAGTATGTTCATGCTCATAGCTTAAGTTTAGGATTATTTTTCTTAAGGGATTCTTGAAGGAGCTTTACTTAAACATGAGCATATTGCCTAGTAGCATAGGGTCCTGAATATAAATAATTTCTTCATTATTTTCTTTTTGGCTTAATTTAATCAAGCATTTTTTCAGTAGTTTAGAAATTCAGGGAAACCTTGCTTAGAAACTCGAGGTGAATGTCTTTCAGTTTAGAATAATTTGTGAAACAAATTGAGGCAAGAGAATATACCATAGTTCTTTGTCTTTGGAATAAACCTTGAAGTTCTAAAATCACGAGATTTTCTGAACGGAGCTGTAGAGGAGCTGAAAGCAGGATTTGCAGCAATATTATACCGTGTTTTGCCTGCAGAAAATTTATCATGGGTAGGTAATCCACTTGTTTTGTTTAGTTTGTGTTAGGGAAGAATTCTCCAAGTAGCTTAATGAATGGCGTAACATACATATTTTGACATCTTCCTTTCAGGTATAGTAACAAGCAGTCTCTTACCTGTTTGTTTCACAGTGTGAATTCCCTTACTGAAGGCTTGGATTGTCTGTAATTTGCAAGTTGATGATTTCAGAAAAGACATGATTCTAGGTTTCTTGAAAGCTAATTCTGAGTATTTGGTTAGGATATAAGTTTTCAGAGAATGCTGGGACAGCTGCTACCTGAAAAATAGTCCCATTTGGCTGTTTCAGCATAAGCACTTGGAATTTTAACTTCTGTGAATCCTGACTCAGTTTTATATTTAGCATTATTAGTTTATCATGTACTTTGGCTGATTAGAGTTATGAAAAATATTTTCCTAGGAAATCAGCTTTTCTAGAAAAATAACATATTATTATCTGTTGAGACAGGACAGTGAAACGATAGTTTTGAACATTGCTAGTAGGAAACACAGATAACTAATGTTGTGTATGCTCACATACTGATAACACAGTTGCACAGTTCTTCCTGCCAGCTCCGTTATTTCCAGTCTCTGCAGGATTAAAACTGACATGAGTCCTCTTCTGAGCTCCGCTCAGTAACCATAACTCCAGTAAGCATCACCCCCAGTGGCTGAAGAGAATTGAGCTGATTGTTCAGAAGGACAACGTGATGTGCTTGCTTGCACATGTCTTTGTTTGTTTGTGGTTTCTTCTGCTGAGAAGCAAAGACTTTCAAGTGCAGCTGATATTTAAATCATTATCGAGGGAATGTGTCTTTACAAGAAAATAAGAGTTAAGGAGCTTGTTAAATTTGACCCTGTCAGCCAGAATGTTACATTGCCAAATGAATACTCAGTAAAGACAGGTGCAGCAAAGACTTTTCTTGGTGGAAAAGATGTGATGCAAATGTTCCTGTTTAGGGTGTAATTCTTAGCTCACCCAAATAATAGTGAAGTCAGGTAGAATGAAATCAAATGCACTAATGGACTTTGTAGTATAACCTTTTAAATACCAGAGATGTTAAAAATATTCTTGTTGTACTGTGTCTTTCTAGTTCAGCAAATGCTTGTTCTTGTCTTATAAATTCAAGAAACAAAGCAAAGTGTTTGTTGGTAACACATTTTTCACACGGCTTGGCTATGTTGATGCAATAATTCCTGTACCCAGGCGGGTTATCTGCGGTTTAGTTCTTTAGTGGTGGGTGCTGCCTCCAAACAGTTACATGCACAGCCTAGGTAAAGATATTTCTGTACAGGAAGTGGAATAAGAAGTGTAGCTGCATGGCCACCTGTTCTATCTTAATTAGCAATTGGGGAAAAAACAAAGTGGTGTTGATTTAAAATGTTGATTTGAGTGAGTTGTGGTCTTACTGAGAAGGTTTCTATTTATTACTTTGTTCTGTGGTGGCCAGTGATGTGATTTCCAGCAGTAATAATTTCCAGTCTAAAGAAGGCTACTGAAAGTTTGAGTTTGAATTTTAGAATTACTCTTGAATCACTCTGTTTGGCTTGTTTGTTCTGCATTCTTTTTTCAGATTCTTCAGATTGTTCAATTCTTTTGTGCTCTTTTGTATTCGATTGTCAAAACAGTTTTCGTGAGTATTAAAATATATATTAAAAAAAAAGAGAGAAGGGGAGGCACTTGATCTCTTATAATTTGATTTAGTGTATAACTTGCTATTATACATTCGTATATTTTATATTTTACATTTATATACATTTTTGCAAAAAAGTGAACGAGTTTTC